CAGCTGTATTCTCTGTGCCTTTGTTACCCTCAGGAAGGAAAAATTGACTAAGATCACCACCGCAGTGCTGTTCTGAGGTGCTCCAAAACTGTAATGTCAATAAGCATGTCTCATTTAAAACTTTCGGGGAACAAGGCAAGGGAGTTCAAAAACTTCACTTTCGCTTTCTGCTGTGACTATAAATATGATTCTTCTGCCTGCTTTATCTATAGCTGCTGCCATTGTGGCCTTAAAGGGGGAGCCACCTCCAAACCCATGGAACACCTGACCATGACAAGGAGGAGAAAGAAGAGGACTTGGGAGGAGATGTTCAGAAAGATCCTGCAAGCCAGTGCTGCATCAGACCGTGAGCACATGGCATGGAGGATGAATGTTGTAGACACTATGGAGAAAGAAAGAAAGAAAGTAGACTGGAAAAAGTCCCAGCAGGAAAAGGAGAAGGAGATGCACCTGGATATGATAGGGCTTCTTCAGCAGCAAACACAGATGCTGCAGACTCTTGTTGTCCAGCAGGTGGTTCAGAAAGCAGGGGCTCACTTCTCTTTGCCGTCAATGGAGAACACCATTGTAGCATTTCCTTACCACCCCCACCCCAAATTTCTTCATGACGTCAGGGGATGCATCCCTTCCACACCACACCCGGGGACCATAAGGACAGCTTCACAAACACTGACCTGTGAGAGCCATGGGTGCTATATGTGTCACCAGAATGGTCTGAAATGGACATGAATGTTCTTTCCTCTTGTTAAATTCTGTCCTGTTAATTTGTTTCAAAAGTTTTTAATGTATTTGTTTTTAATTACACAGATGTTTTTTTGCACTGGTTTTGTTATTCAATAAAATTCTATTTTTGGAAAAATAACTCATCTTTATGACTTCACAACATAAACTGTAGGATGCCTAGTGGAAGTGGTTGTTGTGCGGTGCGATAGAACTCATAGGATCAGTGACAAACCCAGTGTATAATAATAAATGTACAGCAAGCAGTGCACAATGAATAGGTCCAGTGCCAGTGTTATATAGATGGGGTGCTTAGTGCACACAGTCCCTAACAGGCCCCAAAATGTCAGGGCCAGGTTGAGCATTGTCTAGCACACCACATTACTGTGGCTGACTGTTAAAGTGGTTTTTCAAGGCTTCCCTCAGCTGCATAGCTCCACCTTGGCACAACCTTCTAATAGTCCTTGTGTCTGGCTGTTCAAACTCAGCAGATAGCCGCTCCATGTCCACGCTGGAGGCAGCTTTTCCCCCTTTGCCTCACAGATATTATACAGGACACAGCAGACAGCTGTAAACAATGGGATGTTTTTTTTCACTGAGATCCAATCGTGTGAGTTAACAACACCAGCGCCCCTTCTATCTACAAAAAACACATTCACCCATCATTCTGTCCCTGCTGAGCTAGTAGCTGAATCTTTCCTTGGTGCTGTCGAGGTGGCCGGTGTATGGCTTCATGAGCCAGAGGAGCAAGGGGTAGGCTGAGTCCCCCAGGATCATTATTGGCATTTCAACGTCGCCAATGGAAATCTGCCGCTTGGGAATTAATGTCCCTGTTTGCATCTTTCTGAGCGGTCCTATGTTCTTAAAAATGAGAGCATCATGCACCTCACCTGATCAGCCAGCTTTGATGTCAGTGAAGCTCCCTGGTGATCCACCAGTACTTGCATAACCAGAGAAAAGCAGGCCTTTCTGTTGGTGTACGCTGTGGTCAAGATGTGCTGGTGCCAAAATAGGCATATGCATATCACCTATCTCCCCACTGCAGTTCGGAAACGCCATTGCTGCAGATCCATCTGCTATGTCCTGCACGTTGCCAGGAGTCACAGTCCTGCATAGCAGGAGACGATTAATGGACTACACACTTCCATGACAGTGGCCCGCATGGTGGATTTTTCCAACTCCCAAATGATTTCCCACTGACTGGTAGCAATCTGGCTTTGCTGCCTTCCACAGTGTGATTGCCGCTTGCTTCTCCACTGTCAGTGCAGTTCTAATTCGGGTCTCCCTCCACTGGAGGGCTGGGGCAAGCTCAGCACGCAAGTCCAGAAATGTGGCCTTGCGCATCTGAAAGTTCTGCAGCAACTGCTTGTCATCCCAAGCCTGCATTACGATGCAATCCCACCAGTCAGTGCTCGTTTCTCCGGCCCAAAAGTGGCACTCCACTGTCTGCAGCTGCTCCGTGAACACCTCCAGCAATCTTTGAACTGGTTTTCGCTATGTCCTACGGCAATCTGTCCTCCACAAAAATTGTCAGAGCGAAAACCAGTTCAAAGATTGCTGGAGGGGTTCACGGAGCAGCTGCAGTTCTTCTTGCAGCTCTGCAAATACCGGAAGATCATTCAACTGTGTTTGCAATGCTCGTGACAACAGCATAGAGCTGTGTAGGCGCCGTGCTTCTGTCAGAGATGACAGACAGCAAGAGGTTCCGCGTGGGTCTGTGGGACTTGAAAAAAAGGCACCAAAATTATGGGCTATGAATAGTAATATGGGATGGAGAAAGTTGCATGGTGAGAGCTTGACCCCTAGCTCCCAGTCGTCCCTGTGCAACTCGTTTCTGCCGCATCATGCATTGCAAAAATATCCCAAAAGACAGTGCGCCACATGATAACGAATTGCACATGAGACACCAGAGTGTACATCGCCACAGGTACTCCTGGTGAGTACGTGCTGTGCTGATGCAAGGAGCCAAGTATGCACGTGTTTGAGCAATATACTAACTGTGGCGGCTGTATGCCGACAATACTTGCATTGACCACAATTGGTAGGGTAGACTTGGGCCGAGTCTGCCTTCCTGTAGATAGAACCTGCAGGTGTACTACCTTGTATTTGGCTGTATTAAAATGCATTTTGTTGGATTGTGACCGCTTAACTGGGCAATTCAGATCACTCTGTAACAGTAACCTGTTCTCCTCGTTATACGCTACCTCATCAATCTGTGTCATCTGCAAACTTTACCAGTAAAGATTTGATAACATTGTCTAATCGTTGGTAAAAATATTAAATAGCATTGGACCATGAACCGATCCCTGGATCCCCTGCTAAAAACAGCTTCGTTCATTGATATCTCCAGATAGCAACTACATTTTGAGATCTATCAGTGACCCAGTTTTTAATCATCTGATATGTAATATGTGCCCTATTTTTTTTTTTTTTAATCAAAATGTGTCATGTGGTAACTAAATCAAGCTTTGGGAAAATCCAAGTATACTATATTCACACAGTTGTTTTTATCATCTAGACCTGTAATCCTGGCACCTCCCCCCCAACATGTTTGTTTGATAAGACCTACCTTCCATGAAACCAAGTTGACTGGCATTAATTGTATTTTTAGGTTCTGCCCTCCAATTCTTTGTTGATAGCATCCCAAATTAACCATTCCATTATTTTACCCAGGATTGACATTGGACTAACCAGCATATGATTACTCAGGGTTTTTTAATGCAGCTCAGCAGTTTATCAAGTGGGTGGTAACTAACTATGTTTCACGTAGGTTTTTTGGTTGTTTCCATCTGTCATGTAATAGAATGTTTGTTTGGGGTTTTTTTGGCCTGGAAATTGGTTTTTCCTTGATGTGACTTCGTAGTTGCATAATAGGCTTTAGTAAGATTTCCATTCCCACCCTGTTTTCTTGGCAGGATTCTAGTGGGTAAATATCACCTGCAAGCTGGATTTCCACATCTTTTGAGTCCAAATCAGCCTCTGGTGGAATCTGCCGGCCCTGTGGTGGGTGTGACAAGGAGTGATTCCCAGCCAAAGGGAGGAAATCTGCAGCTGTGTGCCAGCCAGAGAGAGAGAGAATGTGTGTGTGTGCGTGTGTGCGCGTGCTACTAATGAGAGTTGCTGTGATCTGTCTCTCCTGGGAGAATGTGAAAAGTGAGAGGACAGTGAGGATTAGATGAAGCATGTGTGAGATGGCCGCTCTCGGAAAACAGGATACTGGTCTAGATGGAACATTGGCCTGACCCAGTAAGGCCGTTCTTATGATACAAACTGAAACGTTTTGTTGGTCAACCCTGCACAGTGTGTCCGTGCTGAAAACGAAAGGGCCACGTTGAAAAGAACAATCCTGTTCTTTAAACAAAGAGCCCCTTCCCTTCGACTGATTGCAAAATCACAGCCAAGATTCTAGCCATGGGTTTGAATGATTTCTTTCCAGAAATTTGTCCAGGAAGATTAGCTTGTCTCAATGAACGGCAGAGTCAGGGCTGATTTAATGCAAGGAAAAAGATTAATCTGAATCTGCTACTTATCGGACACCCCCAGTAGCCTTCACTAGATTAAGGTATTTGTCAAAATTTCCAACCCTGTCAACTGGCAGTGATGGAAAATGTTGCATCAAAGCCACATTTTCTATACTCCCTTGTACAGTCCTTGTCTGGCATCTGCATTGATGAATGACATTCTCTCCCCAGCTGGGAAAGGAAGCTGTGCAGACCTGTCTCTCATATCACTAGCAGTGCACATGTGGCAGCCGATAAGCTCTGAAGGAGTGCATCCACAAAGAAGAGAATGTGAGGTTAGCCTTCCTGGAAATGACCTCCTCCTTATCTGGTGAAACCTTATCCCTTCTCTCCCACTGCTGCCCTCTGTGATAGGGTCTTTTGGGAAAATGCCAAGCTTCCAAAACAGCGGGAACTAGTCACTTGTAGTGAACATCTCTTACAGACCAGACACTCACACTAGCTTTTCCAAATAAGAAAGCGCAAAAAGCTGAAATCTACTGTTGCAGCCTAAATTTTGATTACCTAATAAGGGAGGGGTTAGATGTAGCATGGTGCTAGAAATCAGGAGACATGGGTCTATCCCTGCCTCGGCCACTGACCTTGCTGCGTAACCTTGAGCAAATCACTGCATCTCTCTGTTTGTTTCCCCGGCTGTTAAATGAGGATAGCTTCCTAGGAGCGTTGTGAGGTTCAGATGATGTACAATGCTTATTAAGCAGTTAACTAAGGATGTGGGAACATAGCTATTTTTACCCTTCTCCCTACTGTGCACACTAGAAACTTCACAAATTGAATGTCTGCCTCTGGATCCCATCTCTCCTGGGACTCCTGCCTCGGAGGATTTCAGCAATTCTCTCAGGTAGATATACAGACACCCTCATCTAAGAAAAGAAGCAATCTTCCTCACTACATTACAGCCACCATTGTTCTTGTCACCATATGCCAGGCCTACTCGTGTATCTCTCTCCTAGCATTCAAGAAGGAACCAATCCTAGCCTGGCTTGCCAGTTGTGAGTATTGAGCAATGCCATATTGAAACCAGGCTTGCTGCACCCTTTGGTAAACTTTCTATCTTACCCTCTCTCCTCTAGATGCCGATTATACTGATTAGCAACCCAAAACACTGAAAAACTTCTGCACTAATTTTCCTCTCTCCCCCTCGTGGCGCAACCTTCATTTAAAAAGTATAGTCAGATCAGTGCGTAAAAATCTTCTGGCTAGAAAAGGTGCTCCTGAAACGAGATGATAGAAGAACACGTGTTACGGAAATAGCTTTGGTTGATTATGGCTGTAACAAGTGCTGGATTTCCCCCCAGAACAGAGCGAACCAGAGATGAATACGCCAGGCAGCTACAATGTACTCAACAAAAGAGAGCCAAATTGATAAAGGGAAGGGAGCTGTTCTAGTCGTTAAACAATGGATTGGGACTCAGGAAACTGGGACCTTTTGTCCTGGCTCTGGTGTTGACTTTGACTTCATGGGCAAGTCACCTGAGGCCTGACTTTGAAAAGTGCAGGGCTTTTTGTAACACCAGTTGATGTCCGTGGGAGCTGCAGGTGCTCTGGACACCTGAAAATCAGAGTCTGGACCAAATTTACTTCTGCTTATAGAAGTCCCGTGAAACCAATAGAGTTACACCTGTGATCAGTTTGGTCTCTGCTGCCTCAGTTTCCTCATGGTAAAACAGAGATAATGGTTGTTGTGATGCCAGATAATCAGTGTTTGTTAAGCACTTTGAGATTCTTGGAAGGTGCTATAGAAGAAATATTACAGTTGAAGTAACATAAAGTGGTGTGCCTGGGAGCCCACGTAAATGGAGACTTAATTGTAATAATAATTCCTCTCCAGCAGCTGCCAAGAATCCCAAAGTATTTGAGGCAGGGCTTGGGTGGTAAAGCACAGGGCTGGATAGGAACCCTGCCAGGGCAGGGAACAGCCGAGTAATCTCGGATGTATTTTTACTTTCTATAAACCGCCCAGCTACTGGGTTGGCCTGTTTACCGTGCTCTCCGTAACTGCAGGCACACCTGGCTTGTGGGTGGTAGCTCCGCTGGACGAATTAATGTTGCCAAGTGACTGTTGTTGCCACAGTGATGGCTAAAAAATGTTGCAAGAAGGTGGCAATTGTAAGTCCTCCACCGTCCTTGAAGGCCAGATGGGTGAACTGTTCACAGCAGAGCACTTGGGGGGAAATGATGAGCTCAGACGTGGGAAAGTACAATATCCGCTCTTGGATACCGTGCTGCTGGGTGCTGTAGGAAGCCCTGAGATAGCCAAAAGATCTACATTCCATAACCTTGTTACTGCATACAATGGCTGCCTCCCTTCAAGGGTTACTGGCTTGTCTCTGGAGCCCTGACTGAGTGCAGGGTTTGCACGGTGCACATCTGGCCGGGGGGGCAGTTACAGAGCGCTGGGTGTAGAGGAGAGTTTTGTGACCTTCTCAGTCATTCCTCCTTTCTCCCCATCCCAGACCCTGTCTTGGGAAGTTTAGAGACTGCTTGACGCAAGATCTAGTCAGGCTGGATTCACAGAGAGCTAGTGCTAAAATGCCCTGATCCTCCTGCTGCCAAAAGGAGAGGTACAAAGAGCAAGTGTTCTTGCATGTGAAGCAATAGAGAGTGCGGAAGGAGAGCCTGTCTCAGCACGGAATGGGGAGCCAGGCATGCCTAGATTCTAATCTGGGCTTTTACACACACACTCTGGCTTTGGGCAAGTCTCTGGCTTCCCCAGCTGTAAGATAACAATGATGCCACCTACTTCCCTGGGGTGATGTGAGGACCCATTTAATTAGTGTGTTTTTAAGGTTCTGTGAACTTGAAAAGCCACTGAAGGGTTCAGTGTCTGGGTGTTGCTATTCCTGACTGTTCTTTGGGACCGTCTGCTGAAAACACGGGAAGGTAAATGTGTCCAGCAATGTGTGAAACAGAACTGTCAGACTGAGTGGCTGTGCAAGGTCCAGCTGGGTATTGGCTTTATTAGCATGTTTAGATGAGACTTTATCAAAATAGGCCACAGATCCACTTGGGACTCCACTGGCATCATTCTTCTGCAGCTGTTTGCTTGTGTAAGACAATATTTCCCCCTCCTCCAGGGAGTCAGTCTGACTGCAGCAAAAGAGCGGGGACAGCTTGTGTTCTTGGAAGGCCTGAAATCCTGCTTTGACGTCTTTTTTGGTGAGGAGCAGCATGTGGGGCAGACCAATCCCCTTCAGTTTGTAAGGTAAAGCTCTGGGGCTTTGGAAGAGGTACAGCCAGTAACTCTTGGGATTAGAAATGTTGCCGCCTGTTGTGATGCTGAGCTGTCAGTCTAGTTCCTGGTATACCGGTGTCTGCATCACAGACAACAGCATGACACCTACCACTAACTGGCCTCACATTACAGCAGTGAGGCGAAGGAGTGGGACTGAACTCCCTCCCGAACCCTCCTGAGCCGGGCAGGGCTGAGGCAACAGTTGCTGGGCAGTGCGTGTGTTGTTTGCACTGCAGCTGTCCAGGCCGTACCTGTTGTGTGGCTAAATAGCATGAGTTGGTCTCCTGGGCTGTCAGTCCAGCAATTCTCACCGGCATTAAATTCACACTCGCAAATGGAAATGAATCCAAACCCTGAAATACCCACACTGCTAAGATTATCTCTTTCCCCCTCTCTTCTGGCTGCTGAGAGAGGGACTGTGCTCCATCCCTCCCTCCATTGAGGACTAAGGGAGGTCACCCTCTCCTCTGTTCCTGCCTTCCTTGCACACTCTAGTCTGCCAGTGAGCTGTAAAGTGCTGAGGGAGTTACTGAAACTAAGGAGCTAATTAGAGGGGAATCTTTCTCCGATCTGAAGCTCAGCTGTATAAGCCACCAGGGCAGTTAAGGACAGAGCCTTGCAGTAGGGACCTTCTATTACTGCTTTCTGATGTATAACTCCAAAGGCCGGTTTCTGTAGACACTTGACTACACACTGCATTTGTCCCATTGTATTAGTTTAGAAGTAGACTAAATTAAGGCAGTGGGACCCCAGACTAGTGTGGGTACAATTATAGCTAGGGCCCTACCAAATTCACGGTCCATTTTGGCCAATTTCAGGGTCAGAGGATTTAAAAAATCATAAATTCATGATCTCAGATATTTAAATCTGAAATTTCACGGTGTTGTAAGTGCAGGGGTCCTGACCCAACTCTGAAGGCAGCAGCGCAGAAGTAAGGGTGGCGTGGTAGGGTATTGCTGCGCTGCTACTGGTGGGGCGCCACCTTCAGAGCTGGGCACCTGGCCAGCAGCTGCTGCACGCCAGCCACCCAGCTCTGAAGGCAGCACAGAGGTGAGGGTGGCAATACTGCGACCCCCTACAATAACCATGTGAAACCCCCCAATCCTTTTTTGGGTCAGGACCTCCAGTTTGAGAAATGCTGGTCTCCCCTGTGAAATCTGTATAGTATAAGTAAAAGTACAAAAGACCAGATTTCACGGTCCATGACGCATTTTTCACGGCCTTGAATTTGGTAGGGCCCTAGTTATAGCTGTATAAAGGTGCAGGTATCAGTGCAAAGCACATTTATGCTGGTATAACTGCATCCGCATTAGGTAGGCTGTACTGCTCTAACTATGGGCATGTCTACAGAGGAGCTGGAGGTATAACTTCCAGCTGAGGTAGACAGACCCACACTAGTTTCCAGCCCTACACTGCTGCGATTCTGTGCTATAGCTAATGCAGTACAAAAACCATGCTGAGACCAGGCCAAGAATCTGAGAATCTCCTGTTCCTCTTTCCAGCGAAGATGGCTCCAACCTGAAAACCATGTATGAGTTTGTCCGGACATCCCTGATGGCCTCTGGTAGCGATTCCTGGAAATGCCCCGTGTTGCTGGTGGATGATCTCAGCGTCCTGCTCAGCCTGGGTGTGAGGCCGGTTGATGTTTTGGATTTCATCCATTACTGCAGAGTTGCAGTGTGCTCCCAGTTAAAGGTACTGTCGTGTAGTGTTCCCAAAGTTCAGTAACATTACGGCCTGGGTCGCTAGGTGGTGCTCTTCCCTCTGAGTCAGTGCTGCTGAGCAGGGGTGAGCAGGCACCGTGCTCTACAGGGATGGGCAGAGTTCCTGACTGCTTGTGGCCATTACAGATCCTGTGGTGCTCCCTGTATGGGTGGGGCTTTCCCCTTTAGGATCCTGACCAGATTCTAACTCAGGTAGTTACATGCTATCTACCCAAATTCCCTCTGCTGTTTCAATTCAGTCTAGACAAAAATATTTCAGAGTGCCCATCTCCATAGTATTTAAGTGCCAGGATGCAGCTATGTGATACAGTGTTCATATCCTGTCCTAAAGTGCTGTGTAGTGTTGCTATGTGCTGTTAAACATTTGCCATGTCCCACCCCAGAGGTGTTTGCATTTCAGTAGTCAGTAAAGTGATGAGTAACCCTTCTTCCTCCTAGGGATACTGAGGCATAATAAGTTAACAGTTGTAAAGTGCTTTTTGTTACTTGGATGGAAGGAGGAGAAGTTTCTATTCTCTTTATTTGGTAATCTGTTTCTTATTACAGGAGTGAGGTGTCCTGTGCTGAAGTTCCTTGGTGTTTTTTGACACAGCAGGACCCTAAAGTAAATGAAGTCCTGCTTTGTCACTGACCAGAGTGGAAAGTACTGGGAGGAGGGGGAAAAGCTCCTATACATACGATTTTTAAAGGGATAGTAGTCTTCTGATGGAAAAAATGGATTCACTAGGTGAAAGGGCCAGTTGAGAGCAGAATGTGAAAGAGGACAACTTGAGGATGGAGGTTGGAGGAAAGAAAAACCCACACCCACTGCTTTTTAAACAAGTCAACTTTGTAATCACCGAACGGCACCATTGCACCCTGTGCCCACTAAGGAGAAGGGCTAGTTCTGTTACAGCTGGCTCAGCTTCCCTGGATTAAACTGTTTCACTTTAATTGGGGAAAAAATATATACAGCTTGCAATCAGGAATTTCATAGTATAAGCATGAAGTTATAAAACCAAAGGCAGTTGGAGCATAGTCCATATTTCTCTCCTTTTATATACACACCCAATGTGTCATCAAAGGAAAATGCAGAGTTTTAACAGTGTGTTTCCAGGGACCAGAACATTCAGGATCTTTGATCACTGCTCCAGAGCTATTCTTTTGCTAGTCCTGAAAGCATCTGTGCTGATCCCTTCAGATATCATTTCAACAATTGGTCTCTCACATGCTGTTAGCCAGAGAGGAATTCTTCGTGTGACAGGCTGGATCACAGAAACCCCCTTGGGAGCTGCCACCCGATGTGTCAAGACTACCTCTGCTCCTGCTTTTCCTGCCAGCTCAGGACTCCAGCACCCTGTCTTGTTGAGCCAGACACTCCCGTCTACTCCAACAAAGACCCAGGGTCTGAATTACTTGCCCCAAAGCTGCAGGTTTACCTGAAAGCAGCTCACAGAAGTGTTCCTGTCTTTAACTCTCAGATGCCCAACTCCCAATGGGGTCTAAACCCAAATAAATCCGTTTTACCCTGTATAAAGCTTATGCAGGGTAAACTCATAAATTGTTCGCCCTCTATAACACTGATAGAGAGAGATGCACAGTTGTTTGCTCCCCCAGGTATTAACACATACTCTGAGTTAATTAATAAGAAAAAGTGATTTTATTAAATACAGAAAATAGGATTTAAGTGGTTCCAAGTAGTAACAGACAGAACAAAGTAAGTCACCAAGCAAAATAAAATAAAATGCGCAAATCTATGTCTAATCAAACTGAATACAGATAATCTCACCCTTAGAGATGCTTCAGTAAGTTTTTTCCTCAGACTGGACCCCTTCCAGGACTGGGCACAATTCTTTCCCCTGGTACAGCTCTTGTTCCAGCTCAGGTGGTAGCTAGGGAATTCTTCATGATGGCTCCTCTCCCCCCTTTGTTCTGTTCCATCCCTTTATATATCTTTTGCATAAGGCGGAAATCCTTTGTCCCTCTCTGGGTTCCCACCCCCTCCTTCTCAATGAAAAGACACCAGGTTAAAGATGGATTCCAGTTCAGGTGACATGATCACATGTAACTGCAAGACTTCATTACCCACTTGCCAGCACACACATATACAGGAAGACTTGCAGGGAAAACAGCCATCTGCAGTCAATTGTTCTGGTTAATGGGAGTCATCAAGATTCCAAACCACCATTAATGGCCCACACTTTGCATAATTAGAATAGGCCCTCAGAGTTATATTTCATATTTCTAGTTTCAGATACAAGAGTGGTACATTTATACAAATAGGATGATCACACTCAGTAGATTATAAGCTTTGTAATAATACCTTACAAAAGACCTTTTGCATAAAGCATATTCCAGTTACATTATATTCCCTCGTTAGCATATTTTTATAAAATTATATAGACTGCAACGTCACACTCTGTATCTACACTACTTTTAAACTGGGTATCAAAGGCATAAAAGATTGATTCCCAGAGCTAGTGTTTCTTGAGAAAATCGCTCCTCAGTTGTCAATGTCAATTCCAGGATAACTCCCATTGATTGGGATGGGAATGGACCAATCACTTGCACAGTTCTGAAGTTGATTATATTCACACACACTCAAAAAACAGTATGCATGACTTGAGGTAACATTTTAGAAGTTCTCCTTATCTGTGTACAAGTAACTCCTGACAGTATTACGGCTGAAAGAATCTTAAAATACCAAATTCACCGTTTACTGATTATGCAGTGTTTTCCCCTTCTCCCCCAATTGCCTATAGTTTGGATCACAAAAATAGACTAGTCAGTATCACCTTTTTCTTCTCTTGCTGGCTGCTAATGCTGCAATGTTTGGGATGAAAATGGTGCCGGTGAATGTCTGCTTGTTTGGAATATTGTTTCCAAAGTAATTTAAAAATAAATAAATAATGGAAGTATTTTTATTTCTGTACAAGGTAGTTTTTTTTTTTCTTTTGGAAAACTTTAAATTTGGGCTGGAATTTGACTTGACTTTAAATATTCAGTGGGCTGAGGCAAAGACTCTCATGATATATTTTTAATGGAACTAGTTTTGGATTTCATAAAACTTTTTTCTTTTCTTTCAAAAAATGCAAACATTGGACATAATCCCCCCGGCAATGCCCCATCAGCTAGTTCTCTATTAGATGGTTCTTTAAGGTATAGCTCACAGATTAGATGTCTGCTTGGCCAGACAGATCAGTTGAACTAGCGTTGGCTGTTTTTGTAACAAAGGTTTGATGTATTTTTAGGCTGGAGAGTTATATAGATGTTTGGTTATTCTCCCACTCGGCTCTGATTCAGAACCCAGATTGACGCAGATACCATGAAGCTAAGTGGCTAAGTAGCTTAGTTAGCAATGTGTTTGTGTGAGCCCACGTCTCTGATCTCCTCTCATAATGCAAAATTGATTGTCAATGAGTCACTAATTCCTGTGTGACACTTTCTGTTCCAGGGGAACATAGTGGTGCTAGTGCACAGCAATGATGATTCAGAAGATGAGGAGAATGAACTGGTCGTGAATTCCCTCTGTCACCAGAGCAACCTAATCCTTTGGGCAGAGGGGCTGACTACTGGCTTCTGTAAAGATGTTCACGGACAGGTAAAGCTTGCGAAAGCATTTTCCCTGCTCCCGATGCTGTCATGAGACATGGCAACTTATTACATTCACCAATAATGCATGGCTAGAGCCTCAGGTGCAGCCAGGGTTTATTACGTGCAGTTCAGGGGGTGGGGTGCAAATGGGATTTTAAGCCCCCTGTGTAGCTCCTGATGCAGGCACCAGTCTGGCCCCAGCATAATTCAGAGCAGTCTTAGGGCTAACTTATATCCTGCTGCCCCCAGCAGCCAAGGATGCTAGAGCACTGTGGCACTGTAATTACATTCCCTTTCCTCAGCCGCACCTCCTGGGGGCTTCCAGTGAGGATGACAGAGACACTGCACCGGCTCTCTGCCACATGGGGATTCTCCCTATGTTGGGGGAATCAGTGTAGTGGTGCGAAGCAGCCAGAGCAGGGTTAGGATCTGGCCTGTGGACTTTGCAAGTGGCAGAAGTATGAAGTGAAGTCCATGTTTTTGTGAATCTAGTGCTGATGAAAAGGGCTGGACAGACAGCCCTGGAGACTGAAGTTCTTTACATAGAACATCTGCAGCACGGGCTGCGCTAGTGCAAGCTTGTGCCCTGACACGAAGGGGATGGGTGTGCTATAAATACGGAGAAGCTTCTCCAAACTCCCATTCAGTCGGTCTCATCCATGACCTGGCTGGATCCCCTCTAGGGGGGAGAGAGCACTTCAGTCTTGAGGGCCCATTTGCTGCCTGGCCTCTCCGCCAAGGCTGCCACCGAGAAGGTTTAGTGCTTGTTAAGATGGCTGCATAGGGCTTTCCAAAATGGCAGTGTCGAATCCTCCCGCCAGGTCAGTTGCGGATGTTAAAGGTATTTTAACACAAACACCACATCACCTGCTCAGGCCTTTCCCTTGGAGGGAGGATGCTGTGATTGCAGCCACAAGGAAGCAGCTTCTCACTCCTTCCCTTTCCTTTGCAGTTAAAGATCATTCAGAAGGGGTCATCCGAGCTGAAAGCAGAGAAGAATCTCCTCCGAATCTACCAGTATAAAATTCAGGACAAGAACGTCACATTTTTTGCCAGAGGGATGTCAGCAGCTGTGTTGTGAATTCCAAGGCCCAATTCAGCACAGGACCTGAGGCCAAGGGGAGAGTGGTGCTGGATACCTGGGGAAAAAACAGGAGATGCCAGCAATACAGCCTGGGTATTTTTTTAGCGCTTTCCACGACCAATCCAGTAAATGTGGTGTGAGCAGGATTTGCATTGGCACTAAGTGGCATTTAAAATCCAGTCCTGCAGTGAACTCTGTGCAGGGGGAGGGATCTGCATGAGCTGAGCTTATTGCAGGTTCGGGGCCTAAATCAGTTCCCCTCCCTTTACTGTCCAGCAGCATTCCACTGTAATATACAAAGGGTTCGAATTGCAAAGAAGAGCAAAATGTAATGAATTTTAAATATACTTAACAAACAGGCAGCTGCCATCTTGATAGTCTGATCTAGCTTATTATTGTTCATTTATTTGAAAGAAAGTAGGCCTAGTCCATCAAGATTGCAGTTCCGTTGTGCTAGGCACTGTACAAATAGTGAGACAGTACCTGCCCTGAAATGCTTAAGAACATAAGAACGGCCATACTGGGTCAGACAAAAGGTCCATCTAGCCCAGTATCCTGTCTACCGACAGTGGCCAATGCCAGGTGCCCCAGAGGGAATGAACAGAACAGGTAATCATCAGGTGATCCATCCCCTGTTGTCCATTCCCAGCTTCTGGCAAACAGAGGCTAGGGACACCATCCTGGCTAATAGCCATTAACGGACCTATCCTCCATGAATTTATCTAGTTCTTTCTTGAACCCTGTTATAGTCTTAGCCTTCACAACATCCTCTGGCAAAGAGTTCCACAGATTAATTATGCGTTGTGTGAAGAAATAGTTCCTTTTGTTTGTTTTAAGCCTGCTGCCTAGTAATTTCATTTAGTGACCCTTAGTTCTTGTGTTATGAGGAGGAGTAAATAACACTTCCTTATTTATTTCTCCATACCAGTCATTATTTTGTAGACCTCTATCATATCCCCCCTTAGTCGTCTCTTTTCCAAGCTGAAAAGTCCCAGTCTTATTAATCTCTCCTCATACAGAAGCCGTTCCATACCCCGAATCATTTTTGTTGCCCTTTTTTAACCTTTTCAGATTCCTATATCTTTTTTGAGATGGGGCGACCACATCTGCACGCAGTATTCAAGATATGATCACACCACGGATTTCTATAGCAGCAATATATTTTCTGTCTTATTATCTGTCCCTTTCTTAATTTATTCCAATTAGACAAGACAGAAGGTAGGAGTGAAGGAGTCAGTGCTGGCACTGGAAAGGCCTGGCAATGAAAGTTTCAAAATTCTAGAACTTATTTTAAACTGGGTTAAGATCTGGTTTAATCATTGAAACATACCAAATGAGACAGCAGCTACAGGCGATCTGCACAGGGAAAAAATAGCCCGGTGCTTCTCTTCTGGCTCTGTGTCTGTAGAAGGCCTGAAAGGGCTTTATGGGTTTTTTTTTTCTTCTTCTTTATTCTAGAAATACAGATCCCACCCTTTGTTTGTCTTGTCTATTTAGAGTGCAACCTCTAGAGGGCATCTCTCTTGCTGTGTATTATGCACAGAGCCTAGCACAATGCATGCTCAGTCCCAGTTGGCGCATGGAATACAATCCGTTACTGACAATTGTGATATACTAGCAGCTTCTAATCTGTGTGTCTGAGACAACCCTATTGGGAGATCAGAATCAGAGTTTAATTTAAAAAAAAATTACATGCATTAAGTGACAAGTATTGTTACTCAGCTGAGCTTTTTCTGGAGACTTCCATCTTTGCGGCGATGGGAAGGAGCTTAAATAAGAAGCTTCAGGGTGAGAGGGGGAAAAGTTGGCACTCTCATCAGGCTCTGGCCAAATTTCTTCAGATGACCTGGATGTTTCTGCTAAATGACCAGAAGTGAAAGAGTTAACTTTGTGGTAGTTTGAATCCTCTTCATTGGGCTTCAAAGTTACTATTGCACTGAGATGAAAGGAGGGAGGGGCGAAGGTCACACTTCTGGTTAAATCTCTCAATTTAGTTCTGCGAATTAGGTACCTTTTAGTTCGCACTAGCAGGATCTACGTGGGCAGTTACAGTGCATCGCTTTAGTGTGTACTGCAGTGCACGCCCTGCAGTCTGCATTGTGGGGCTGTGTGGACAAGCCCTCAGTCTCTCTCTGCTGTCTTAGGCCTTGGCTACACTTAGGGATTCACAGCGCTGCGAGTGTAGTCGCGCCGCCAGCGCTGCGAGAGCTCTCTCGCAGCGCTGCAAGTACTCCACCTCTCCGAGGGGAATAGCTTGCAGCGCTGCGAGCGAGCGTGCAGCGCTGCAGGCGCTGACTACACTGGCGCTTTACAGCACTGCACTTGCTGCGCTTGGAGGGGGGGGCGTTTTCACACCCCTGAGCGCAGCAAGTTGCAGCGCTGTACAGCGCCAGTGTAGCCGAGGCCTTAGGTAGATTACTGCAATGGGTCACAGTCAGAAGATTTTCTTTGCAGCCAGATGGGCTAGAATTGGAATTTTATTTTTAAATAAAATCTTGAAACCTACAAGAATGGATGTGGTCACCAGAGATGTGCTGGTATAGCATGCCACAGTATACTGTACCATCTCACTATGGGCCATGCATCAATGCAGTCCATGGTCAAAATTATATCACACCCAACATAAGTAAATTATAGGGCTAGGATATGAGTTTAAAAGCCATCCAGCAGGCATGTAAAAAACCCAAAGCATGTCTTGTACCTGAGCAGGGGCGTAGGAATTCTTGTCTTGGTGGGCCCATCAAGATAATGGGAATGTTCTCCTTTGAATACTAAATGATGATATTTTGCTGTTCAGTTTGACCTTTATCTCCAGCCTCCTTAATTGGCTGAGTTTGGGAGGCTCTGCACTCAGCTTGATGGTATTTCTAGGTTTTCTGTTTGGATGTAACATGATAACCTTTTGAACACTGTATCCAATCAATTCCAAATGGTCAGGGAATGTTCTAGATCTCAATGGGTCGGACCATGAACCCCTAGAACAATGAGTTCCCAGGTCCTTAAAGGAGCCATGTCTCAGAATTTGTTTTTCACTGGAAATGTTCCCATTAACTGGAAGCCATAGTACTTGCAGCCAGGCCTCCTCAAGCCTTGATTTCGAAAGGCTGGGCTAGGTCAGTATTTGGATGGGAAACCTCTAGGGAAATGCAGATCGTGTTGAGACAGTAGGTGGCACTCTTCCGAATCAGCCCTCAACCAGTGTTGCAGCTAGGGTGGCCACTCACACATCCCCAGAGTATTGGACACTCCAGTACTTCTGGGAGCAGCATGGGCCTGCCCCCTCTTGTGTGACCCCAACTCCATCAGTGTGACCTCACATGCATGGTGTGTGCAGGGTCACCCTGGTGGGGATGAGGTGTCATGCTCTTCACAGCGGTGTCCCCTGTCCACGGTACCGGACAAAAGCACATCCAGTTTTGCCTCAGTACTGGAGAGGGGGAAATCATTTAAAAACTGGACAAATAGCCTGCCTAGTCACACCACTGGGGTCCTGTGTGTGCTGCTGGAAGTGTTGTCTTTCAAGTCCTGATCACATGTGGTGGTTAAAGATCCCATGTATCTTTTTGCAACAATAGGAGTATTAATTAACCCCAGTCTTGACCACAGGTTAACTTGGGTAAGGGTAATTGCATTCCCCCTGGAATTTCAATTGGATAATGACATTTGAAGTATGTCTACAAAAATGACAAGTATTTAAAACAAGACACTAGTTAAAGAACTTGCTAGCCGTGGCAAACATGTAGCAATGGTATAAAAGATGCTACCTCCCCAGATTAGGGGAACTCCCTGAGCGAAGGCATAAAATAATGTAAGCGACAGAAAACTGCAGGATACAGAGGTTAGTGCTGTGTATAATGTGGAATTTTTTAGCCTCAGCTGAGGAGATGGGAAAAAATGTGCCTCAAAAGTAGAGCACTGGAGAGGTACATGGTACCTTTTCGATTCCATCTTTTTCCTCTGATTTGTCCTTCTTTGCTTCAATCTTCTTTCCTCTGCTTCTCTCTCCTCCACCATTCCTTGGCCTTCCTTTTCTTCCCTGTGACTAACACCATCCTTTCATTGTCTTGGGCAGGTAGGGCACAGGAATTCCTTTGTTTTCCATGTGTGGCTTATATAGGGCTTCTGCTGCTGCCTCTGCGAGATGTTCTTATGGGACTTGCATGGCCTAAGTTATCTGCTATTGGCTGAACTCCAACCCTCCGCTCACTCCAGTGGCACCAAATTTGTACAGAAAATATGTACTTTTCAAAACAGGTCCAAAGACAGTTAGTTAAATTGCAAGGAACTGGCAATGTTTCCTATTTCCTGACAGATCACTGGGCAGCTGCACTTTGCACTGACCTCCTCCACAGAGTCCTGGGAGGCCATGATGACCCAGTCACACTGACATAGTTGTATTGTGCTACAGCAGACCTGAACTACGAGCTGGTTACTTGCAGGCACCATGTGCGAGTCTGACCTACTGAAATGTTCTAATCTCTTATTAGTTCAGCTTGTCTCTCACAACTGTAACCTCATCTCTCAGAATGACCTCCGCAGTGTGAGAGGAATAGTCAGACCCTGCCTCCATTAGATGAGTTCCAGCTAAGGCCCTACTCCTGCATACATTTACACACACACAAGATCAGGGGTCTGAGAAAGTCCCTTCATTCCATCTTGCTGCCTTCCCTGCATGAAACTAGTTTCCCTCCATGGAGTAGCAGTAGGTGTCAGGGCTGACATCCCCTGGAGCTGGATGGGGCATTTCCTTGAGCTATCCTTGGGTAGACAGCTCCATAGCAAGTCATAGTGGGAAGTCTGTCTTTACAACCATGAGGCTCTGGAAACGTTTTCTCTTTTTTTATGATAGTTTAAATTCTGCAGCAACTAACATGGACACTGTAGCATCACAATGTTCCCCCCTTGCCTAGACTCTACCTTACCTGCCCATAGCTGACAATAATGGCAAATTGAAAACCCTCATATTTCTCTTGGTGCTGACCTGGTTCCCTTTCTGATTTCTCTGACAGCAGTAGGAGAAACACTGAAATGTGTGTGTGTGTGTGTGTGTATATATATATATATATATATATATATTTAAAATTAGGAAAATAATATTCCCCTAAATAATATACGTGACATTATTTATCATTGCTGCTAGTGGGAATGCTTCTGTTCCTCCTAGATTGTATTTAGCCTCCCCTTAGGGCCCACACCCATAGCACCTGTGGCTGCAACACTACTTGCACGGACTGAAAGCCCGGAGGCCATCCTGTGAGACTTAGAACAGCTTGAGGTTAGGCATTGACCTAGTCCCTGACAGCATATGGGGTATTGCTATGTGTTGACCTAAGGTGGCCTGGCATGGATCCTTAGACTATGGCCCAACTCAACCAGCTAGTGCAGCATGGCATGATGAGTGTCCTGACCTGGTCTCCGTACCTGTCATGATAGGGTACTGCACCACATCCTCACCTGATGTGTGACATCAGATTCGCACAGCACCATGTGGTAGCCTTCATATTATGGCAATGCGAGTAACTCAGCCCTGGTGCTGCATGGCTTACCTTCCTGGTCCCGTCACTGCATGGTTTCCAGCTCCCAGTGCCACATGGTATCCCATCCCTGACTGCAGTGCCATCTCAGCCCATCCCTGTTCCTGGTGCCACCCTGCCTCCCAACCTGTAGCTGACCCCAGTGCCATCTGCCACCTGCCCCTGCTGCCACGTGCCGTCCTATCCCCGGTGCCGTGGGGTGTCCTGTCCGCCATACTGCATGGTATCCTCTGAGCCTGGTGTGGAGTGGCATCTGGCCCCCGTGTGACCCCCGTGCCATGGGGCCTCCTGTCTCTGGCTGCAGTCAGAGGTGGTCCCTTGCCTGTTCCTAACCTGGCTACAGCAGCATCCAGGCCCCAGCGGGGGTTCCAGCCTGGCCCTATTGCCTCCACACAGCCCCCTGCTAGGCAGTGCCCAGCCTAGGGGGGGGGGCGGGAGGGAGCCAGGCCCTGCCTTGGCCGTGCCCAGGTGTGGGGGGCAGACGGGGGGCCTCTGTCTGGGCTCGTAGCTCCCCGTCTGCCCCCCCCATGGCCTGGCCCTGTCTTGGCCCATAGCCGCCACCCCGCCCGCCGGGCACTGGCTGGGGCGCCGAGTCCCCGCCGTCCCCTTTCCCCGGCAGCGGGCAGAGGGCGGCGCCGCTCGAGGCATCCCACGCAGGGACGCGAGTGGCCTCAGCGAAGCGCCGCGCCTGGAGGGAGGGAGGGGCGTGGTTATGGCCGGAGGGGGCGTGGCCGCGACAGGAGGCGGGGCCCAGCCACCCTCCCTGCGCGCGTGGGCGCGGCTCGGCGTCAGGGTGAGAGGGGAAAGGTCAGAGGTGAGGCGCTGGCCCGGGCTGGGAGCCGAGCGGCGCGAGACCCGCCCCCCCCCCCCGTAAGGTGAGAGACGCGCGCGCGCTCCCCCCCCCCCCCCACTTTTTCAGGCCGCGGCGCGAGGCCGGCGCCCGCCCCCCGCGCTCTGACACGTGGGGCCCGGAGGAGCGGGGGGACCCCCCGCCCCCTAGCCCTAGGGGGACCGTTAAAACGGGGGAGGGGCAGGCCGGGCCGCGCCCCCGAGTCCCCCGTTCCCGGCCAGGGCGGGTGGGTGGCGCTGCCGCGGGGAGCCGGGGGCGGGCGGGCGCCGGGTAAACCACACGGGGATCGTAGGGCGACCCCCGCTTCCCACAGGCCGGGCCAGCCAGGCCGGGCCACCGAGGAGGGTGTGTTTGTGTGGGATGCCCTGCAACCAGTGGGCGGAGACGGATCTCGCCCCCTCCCTCCGTCCCTGCGCCCGGGAGCCTTCGGCTCCGCTGCGGGAGGCTGGTGCCGGGGCGATGTTTTGAGTCGGACTCTTGCTTCAGGTTGCCCCTGTTTCTGGGGCCAAAGTCTCCCACCTCAGGAGAGGAGCAACCGCCTGGAGAGTTGGACAAACCGTAGCGAAAAGGCCTGTCCCGTGGAGGAGTTAAATCATAAGCAAAGAGGGGAGGGGGCATGAAGCAGCCCAGGGAAGAGAGACCAGAGAAGCAGCCTGCGAACCTGCCCTGTGGTGGAGAGAGATCAGAAGGCTTCCCTGGACCTTAAGAATGGCCGAGGGAAAGGCTCACTTGCCCACAGTAGCCGGATTTTGAAGCGAGAAGAGGCAAGTACTAGGCATGGGGCGAGTGAAGAGGTTCAGTCACCTGGGTTAGTTTATAGCCGTTTCTAAAAAGTAAAGCTTGGGGGAAAAACCTCCTTCACCTGAGTCAAATGGAAGTTAGGTATGTTGAGGAGCCACTGCTCTGCCTGCCTGCAGGAAGAGGGGATGGGAAGGCAGCATGGGAAACAGGGCATCCCGCCGTTCATTCCTCTAGTGAGCAGGGAGTGGTGACTCTGAGCCATTCCTCCTTTTGCAGGAGGCGTGGGTGGGGAAGGCATGGGGGATAAATAGACTCTAAGCCAGGACATGTGAGAGAGAGAGAGAACGCAGAGAAGGTAGGAAGAGACCACATGGTGGTCTGGGAGTGGAAATAGGAGGATGGAGGGGGAGAGAGAAGAAATTAATTACAGACACTGAAAACCAAGAAATAGATGCAATCTGATCAATGAAAGGAAAGAAAAGAGAGAAAGTAACATGCAGTTAGGAAGGGAAAGAAGGTCTAATAAAGTCAGACATGAAGTAAGTTACTCAGTTAAGTAGACTTGATTGACAAGTGAGAAGTATTTGATTCTCACATTAAGAGAGCAAAACTTTATACTCCATTGCTTTAGGGTGAGGTGGTGTGCTGGCACAGGGCTATTTCACTCTGGCTAGGAGCTCTAGCCTTTCAGCTTGTAAGTGCTAGATTAGTGATTTTCAACAGGTGGTCTGTGGACCACTGGGGGTCCACAAACTATGATTTCCAAAAGGGTCTGCAGCTCCATTTGAAAATTTTTAGGGGTCTCCAAATGAAAAAAGGTTGAAAACCACTGGGTTAGAGAAACTGTTTCAAGCTCTGCAAAAGAGGAGGAGGGTGGCTTCTGGAAGGAATGGGGAGGCAGAGAAGCTGTTTGAAGACTCTGGTCAGGTCTGCACTACAGACCTATCGCGGTATAACTATGTCACCGGGGGTGTGAAAAATCCACACCCCCTGACCGATGTAGTTATACAGACCTAACCCCCTGTGTGGACAGTGCTATGTCAGCGTGCCCACAGCCTCTTGGGGAGGTGGATTAACTATGCCAATGGGAGAAGCTCTCCTGTCGTAGTAGTGTCTTCACTGACGTGCTACAGTGACACAGCTGCAGCGCTGTATGTGGGGAAAAAAAGCCCTGAGGTGATGTGGTTGTGTGTGTCTGTGCATAGTGAGTAGAAGTAGTTGGGTCTTTGCTGGGAGTTGAACTTTGGGAGGAGAAGCTGCACCACTTGATGCCTTTTCCCAAAATCTCTGGATGCAACTTCCATTTATTTCTAGAAGGTTTTAAAATGCAAAGGAGCTTCCTCTTTGCACTTATCTTGCCTCTTTATTATAAGTCCTTTTGAGAAACCAATGACTTCCATAGCAACACACGAATACAATTAGATTAGGGTTACTATTGTGTGATGCAGCAGGTGGGTCAGTTGGTGTATTCTTTTAAAAAGGGAATACTGTTAGGGTTTATTTGTCTTGTTAGATATAAACCATGCTGAAAGTCCCGTTCTGTTAGTCTCTGACTCCCTTCACAAGAATATTTAGCTTTCAGTGGTTAATTGGAATGGCTGAGATTAACTCTGCTCCATATCTTGAACTACAACATTTCAGTCTAGCAGGATGCTTATTTTTTACCTTTCCAAATATGTGGCTTCAATAATCTGATGCACTAAAATTATAGAAGGGCAAAATACAATCAGGTTGGCTTTAGAAAGGTGAAAGTGTGTCCTGATATTCATAGTCAATGCATCTGGTCAACTTAAATCTTTAAACAATTATTGGAAGAATTTTTAAGTGTTCCTTTTGTTGAACTGGACATGCCCAGTGTCAAACTTTTCATGAAACTGCAGAGAAAAATAAATGACTTGATCAAAAGGCTAGAGAAGAGTGACAGTCTTCGTTATGAGCTAAAGATGTGTAGCTTGTCTAAGGGGTGGGGTACACTGAAAACTATTGGCATAGGTATGTCTCGGAGTGGGAAAAACCCATCTCTCTCAGGGGTGTGGATATGCCGACCTGACGCTCAGTGTTGACAATGCTAGGTCAACGGAAGAATTCTGTCGAGCCAGCTACTGCCTGTCAGGGAGATGGATTGGCTACAGTGACAAGAGAACCCCTCTTGAATTGTGGACACCGGAACTGGACTCAGTACTCCTGCAGCGGTGGCACCAGCGCCAAATACAGAGGTAAAATAAGCTCTCTGCTCCTACTCTGCTCCCCGTTTAAGCATCCCAGAATTGCATGAACTCTTTTGGCATCAGCGTCATGTTGGGAGCTCATGTTCAGCTGATTATCCACCACGATCCCCAAATCTTTTTCCAGAGTCACTGCTTTGCAGGATAGTGTCCTCCATCCTGTAAGGATGGCTAGCATTCTTTGTTTGTAGATATACACTGGGGTAGGCAACCTATGGCACGCATGCCGAAGGCGGCACGCAAGCTGATTTTCAGTGGCACTCACACTGCCCGAGTCCTGGCTACCGGTCCGGGGGGCTCTGCATTTTAATTTAATTTTAAATGAAGCTTCTTAAACATTTTAAAAACCTTATTTATTTTACATACAACAATAGTTTAGTTATATATTATAGACTTATAGAAAGAGACCTTCTAAAAACAGTAAAATGTATTACTGGCATGTGAAACCTTAAATTAGAGTGATTAAATGAAGACTCGGCACACCACTTCTGAAAGGTTGCTGACCCTTGATATACACATTTACATTTAGCCATATTAAAAACATGTATTGGTTGCTTACACCCAGTTTACCAAGTGATCCAGATCACTCTGAACCAGTGACTTGTCCTCTTCATTATGTACCACTCCCCCAATTTTTGTGTTATCTGCAAATGTTATCAGTGATGACTTTGTCTGCTTCAGGTCATTGATAAAAATAGTAAATAGCACAGCGCCAACAGCTGATCCTTGTGGGACCCCACTGGAAAACACATCTGCTCAGTGATGATTTCCCATTTACAATTGCATGTTGAGATCTATCAGTTAGCCAGTTTTTGATCTATTTAGTGTGTTGCATTAAATGTCTGCATATTATAGACATGCAGATTAATTACAGCATAAGGGGGTGCAGCTCAAAGAAATTGTGAATAGGGAGACCAAAGGAAAACTTAGGTTGAATATTCAGAAACCTTTTTACAGTGAAATCTCTGGCCTTCCTGCCTTTTCACTCTTCTAGCCTGACCAACACATGGCTGTGAAAATCCTATTCCTTGCCTGCTGCTTTCACTGTGTCCAACCCCTTTCCAAATGCCATCACTGTCTTCCTCCCACCTGTCTCACATTCAAGCTCCTTCTTTGTCTTTAAACCACTACCTACCCAACTTGTCTTCCATCTGCCACCTTGCTCTCTTCTCATTCTACCTAATCCATGCAAGTAGCCACCCTTTCATCTCCTCATTGAAAGCAAAGAAAATAAGTAGTTAGATCTGATGCAGGGTCTCTGAGGGGGCAGCTGTGGGGGATTCTTCAGTAATGCAGCTCTATGGCTTATGATCCGTAGAAGCCCCTCTAGCTCAGAATCTGCAATGATTTCTGCTCATCTGAAGAGTCCAAATCAAAGAAGAAAAAGCAACAGAGTGGGACTGCGTACTGTGTTGAGTGTTCAGTGATTCTTTGATGTCAGCCCTGAAGTTGGGGCAACTGCTCCCTTTACATAACTCTTGCCAGTGTTCGTCTTGCAAAATCAGTGTCTCTTGACAAGGAGCAACAAGAGTCCTGGTTCTGGGACCGTGGGCTTCATTGTGAGGGAGTGGGCAGCCTCTGGGTGTGGGAAGGGGAGAGGAGTTGCATTTCTCCTTTGGCAGTGGTTAAACTAATCTTGCATGGACCATTGTGACAAAGATGCCTGGGGAATAATAGGTGTCTTGTTCTCAACAGCAACAGTCTCAAAGTTAGACTAGTTATGTAACAAAGTTGCTTTAGGAGGTGTTTCACCAGGGAATGGAGAGACTTGAGTAGTGGCTTGCTGCCCTCAAAAATCAAATGTCTAATCTGTAATTCTTTTTATATGATTACTGTATTGTTCAGAATTAAAATAGAGGATCATCTGCTCCTGCAAGGTGCTGGCTTCAGCAGGAGTTCTGAGCTTCTAGCGCCTTGTGTATTCGGGCCTGTGAAAAGGTATTTTTGTAATCTAGAGTCTGTGTGAAAGTAATCCATTGCTATTGTGAGTCACCTTACAGAGATACCTGCATTTCAGTGGAGTGTGAAATAACTCAGTATGTCTTTACAATTGCTTAGTAAGTTTGTAGAGTGCATTGAAATTCCATTTTGTTGAAAAGTGCTGTTTAAATGAAAGTTCATTGTTATAATATGGTTTTTAAAAAGTTTTAGTGTTTGAATGCCAGGTGGCTTGAGGTAATATTACAGGGAAATCAATGTTGAAGGCTAACTTTTTACTTAGTGGGCTAAGAGGTCAGAAGTACGCTCAGCTTCTCTTTTCCTTCTAACACAGCACATTGCTCTTTCTCTGAGGAGAGCACCTGTTAGTTGTGTGTCAGAGCTGAAACTTACAAGAGTGAAGAAATGTATGTGATTGAAATAACTTTGCAAGTCTAATGCCTTGCCTACACTTAAAAGGATTTGTCAGTATAGCTATACCAGTAGAGCTATTATCAGTAAACTCCCCTAGAGGAGGTGCAACTTATACTGGCAAATGAGTTCTTTTTGCTCATCTAGCTTATTACGTGCCAGTTCTCCGAAGAGAGTAAGTTATACTAGCAAAAGGACTTTCTTGTTATAACTGCATCTGTCCACTAGGGCTTTTGCTGGTATGGCCCTGTCATGGGGGTGACTTTATTTTTCCACACGTCTAACCAAAATAGCTATGCTACTAAAACTTTTAAATGTACCTCAGGCTGAAGTACATGAGTTGTACTGGGTCCAGCTAATGGAAATCGGTTACTTAAGACAGCAAAAGGTGCTTTTTTCCTGCATTGCATGATACAGGGATTTTAGAAACCCTAGGTGCTTTTCCTATACATTTGAAAAGGCTCTTCAGATTCAAAACCATGATATTGCACAGGCCTGAAAACCATAAGGCAAAATATAGAGAACAGTTGGTTGAAGGGGTCATATACTCTAATAGCTAGAGCCAGAGGTCTGGCTCTTGGTTTTAACTCTGCTGGGCTTGATGTGTGACCTTGAGCAAATCACAGTCTCCTTTCCAGGTTCCCATCTATGAAGTTGAGGCTTAGTTAGTGTTGAGAAAGCGTTCACTTCTACAGCCCCTTTCCTATGAGGAACTGAAAGTGGGATTAGTAGTAATACCTGGTGTCTGAGTGTGTGCATGTTCTTGTTCTAACCACCACCAACTTGGGCTGGCTTTCTCACAAAAAAATTTGAATCATTTTAAGTTTCCAGCATATTCTACAAGGCAAACCACACAACTGAAAGGCTAAGGTATGAATAAGCTCCTAGGATATTCCACTCAGTACCAACTCGGAACATCACCAAAGTTGACTAGTGAATTAATGGAAATGGTGTGCTTAAGCGGAAAACAAAAATGTTGGTGGCACAAAACCTGATCCAGCACACACAGACTTCCGGTAGGGCTCTGCTGCTGCAGGTACAGAACTGAAGATAGTCTATCCCTCCTCCATCAAAACCATAAAATAGTGGCCAGCAGCGTTGTTCTGCAGAGCGAACCAATTAATTAATCCAGATGGCCTAAATCAGTCATTGGATCCAAGCACTGGCTGCTGTGACTAGCTTTCATCCTACTCTGAAGGAAATCCCTTCTGAATACAAGAGGAATTGGTCAAGGCATAAAATTCAGAAATGGACCAGCTCAAATTAATTGCTCGATCGCCCCTGAAAGGGTTAGATCCTGTCCCACTGTAATAGCTGTTGTAAATATTTGAGCTGGTACCTGTGAAATAGGTGTCACTCCTGGCTGGTAAAAGCCCATGGAGAATTGTGCTCGCCACTAACAGAAATTACCATTTCCTCCCGAAAAATTAACATGCCAACTTCCTTTAAAATGTAATAGTCCACCTGATCCTCAGAAAGCCACCACTGGATGCAGAAAACCTCTCCAACCCACCACTTCTAAGCAAAATCAAGAGGAGCCTCCTATTATGATGGGAGGGAGAAAACTGAGAAGTGTGGTAAGGACTTTGCTGTGCAGATCTAGTTTACCTGAGAAGTGCTTTGACAATTCACTGCAGTGTCTATGTAGCCCCAAGATTGAGCTACTGATCTAGAGATAAGTGCCATAGCAATTTCCTGCATCATCACTTCCCCCTCCAGTAGAACATATTTGAGTGTTGCATAAGCCCTCTTTCCCTTTCTCCACCAAAAAAAAATTGCCCTTGGAAAATGGAAAAAAACAAATGAAATATGGCTGTTCTCTTCTGTCATGGCGAAATCCCCCTTAGCAAGGCTGCAGCCATAGAAAATATTGTGTTCAAAAGTGTACCCAAGGCCACTTCTAGGAAGGAGCACGACATGCAGAAATGATTCTTGGCCCAGAGATTCTCCCCTCCGTTTTGTTGTTGTTGTTATTTTGTTTGGTTTGGTTTGAAACCAGAGGGCAATAAAGACCACAGTTTGTTCAATTTTATCTTGCTTCCTCCTGCATCAGGGATTCGTCCTTCATAATGAAAGGAGCCATGTGCTCAGGATAAAGATACAGAGGCAGTGCCAAACTTTTACTCGAAACTGGACGTAGAAGTAAACAGATGACAGTGCAGTTGGGGAATTGCTTATTTAAGAGCCAAGTGAATCTCTTCTGGGTCCACTGTGCATATAATATGTAACTGATGTGTATTTATATTAGTTACAATAAAAACCGCCTTTATGCTGACAGTGTTATCCAAAGATTTCAGAAAGAGTGGGGAGGTAAATATTATCCCTGTGCATACAAGTGGGGAAATGACTTGCTGAAGGTCAGAGTGAGGCAGTGTCAGAGCAGGGACTAAAAGCTCAGGTCTTGTGCTTTAACCACTAAATTGCAATGCTGCTTTGGCTAGTGGGGCAACACGCAGGTCCTCCAAGAACCGAGATGTCTCATTGTTTCCTTATGCTCCCTTGTCTCTCTATCCACCTGTTGTATTTAGGTTGTAAGCTCTTTAGGGCAAAGACTGTCTTTTTGTGTGTGTGTTTGCATAGCACCTAACATGATGGGGCCCTGGTCCATGTTTGGGGCCCCTGGGCACTAGTGCAATACAGAC